GTGCAAAATAAAACATATTAAACTTCATGATTCATGTGTGGAGAAACGACAAATGTGCATTTTTTGAACATTTGCAATTGAATTACAACTTTTGTTTTAATTAAAAAAATTTTTTCGATTATGATATTACTAAAAAACATATTGAAGATTAATTATGCAAAAGTTTGAAGTAGATTAGATAACAATTTTTCAAGTTATTAAATAGGAAACAGAGGGGAAGCAAAAGTGACCACTTAATGAAGAATCACCCATATAGGTATTTTTTATAAATTATTACGAATTATATTATATTATATTAAAAATAATATGAACTACACCAAATTTGTTAGAAGAGTTTAACATTGTTCGGACAATGTTAAACTGTATATTACAGAACTGCATTGCAACAGATGTTTAGACCAATTACACAACAATGTTCATACACAGTTATAGAACAAGGTTGGAACAACAGTTACAGAAAATTTGCGACATTAAAGTTATGTAACTCTTACATCACATTGTGATAGAACTGTGACATAAGCATAATACAGAACTATTCTGTAACTAACTTGTAACTATGTTCTAGAACTCTGTTACAATCAGGTTCTATCACAGATCTATAACTAGTTAGGAACAAATGTTCTATAACACTGTAACCTCACTGTTATAGAATACTTATATAACGTGTTTGCTGGGTATTAATTAAATTACAACCAAAATTAATTAAACCGATGACTTTCATTGATCCTCGTAAAAATCGTTACTTGGGAGTTTTCGGGGTTGCTGATTAAGAACCTAATGTCAGTTTTTAAAATTTTTCAATTCAAAATGGCGGATCCAATATGGCCGACGATTTTGGAGAAACTTAACATATTCGTCTGAAAATCGTTACTCGGTGATTTTCTATTTCGCTTATTACCAATCCGAGGTCAACTTTTTTCAAATTAACCATTGTTTTTACAATTTGTTTAAACAATTTAATTATGTTTTTTAGTTTTACTACTATATTTATAGTTCATACATGTATAAAAATAAATAAATAAATTTTAAATAATTTTTAATAATCATAATTAATTAATTAATTACAATTTATTATTATTATTAATTATTAATTACTTAAATAAATTAAATAAAAATAAATTAATAAAAAAAGTAAATTCAAAATTAAACTCAACGTTAAAAACTAGAGGTGTACTCAAAGTATTTAGTATTCGATTTTTTCGGGTACTTGATTTCTTTTCAGTCCTCGGAAATTTCCGTATGCATCAAGTATTCCGTATTTTAAATAATCTTGAACTATCTGATTCAAAAGTTGCAAAAATGGTGGTAACTTGTAAATTGTTAGTTCTAACTTTTCCTCTAGGTTAATAACTTATTTAACGTTTAAATATATTTTACAAAATCAAATTTAATAAAAATCGAACAATTTTTTTAAAATTCATTTAATTAGATTCTTAATCAGCGACCTCAAAAACCCCCGGGTAACGATTTTTAGACGAATACGATCAGTTTTTTCAAAAGTCGTCCGCCATATTGGATCCGCCATTTTGAATTTTGAAAAACTGACATTGGATTCTTAATCAGCAACCCCGTAAACCCTCGAGTAACCAATTTTATAAAAATCCATTCATTAATTTGTATGTTAATGTGAATTTTCTTGACACGATTTTAATTCTCTGGATAAATTGTTTATAAATAACCATAACTTTTGTAAAATTTAATATTTTGTCTGGCCACTTATGGATGTCTTTATTAGTACCATTAACTTGAAGTTAAAATACTTTTCAGACCTTAAATGAGAAAAAAATGTTGTGTCCAAATTTTCTTGATTTTCGTCCTTCGTTTGTAGAATCACCCATATATTGAATGATGAAAATTTACAGCACTTACGAGAAAGCAGTTTACTTTTAACAACTTATTATAAGACATAGTTCTTGGGACAGGAATAAATGCAAAATTTATTAATTTATAATGGTCAATTTCTGAGATAACGAACGACCTACGTTTCACTTTATATTGAATTATTGTAGATAATATCCAAATTTATTTTACATACGCGAAACATAGTCACTGTCAATGATCGGATGGCATCGGCTCATTTACGGAGATTGACAAAGTTAGCAACCAATAGAAATGCAGGCGCCATGCCATATGACTGAACTCGCTAGCCACACTTGCTCACCAAAAATTACTACAGTGGATAGTAGGTTTTAGTGGAAAATGTTTCCATTTGTCAGATTTTGTCTAATTAAATTAGAGAAAACTATAATCAATTTTCGCTACATTTACAACTCTTACACAAAATATTAAAACTTGCTATTTCAAGTAGCAAATTTATCTATTTCTTTTGTAAATTTATCTAATTCTGTAGTATATTATGCTAAAAGTCCCCTTATTTCCGGTCATTGCAACCATTTTTAGTAAATTTTAGCCATATTGGATCCACCATTTTGAATTTTGAAAATTTGATATCTAATTTGTGATCAGCAACACAAAATACATTTTTGTTGGTCTTTTTTAAAAAATGCAAATGAGAAAACATTTAAATCATTCGATTGCTTATCCGCGCATAAACATCTTTGACATGGCGAAGAATAAGGATGTATAACTTTTGTTTTACTTCGAATTTTGCAATAATATTTTAGGAGAGTATTCTTGACACTATACACGCATAGAAAGGGTTTGCTGTGGCAGCGAACATTTTGCTGCCACAGCAAACCTTGTTCGTTGAAATAGGGACAGCGAACAAGTTCGCTGTGAGATCAAACAAGTTCGCTATGACAGCAAACTCGCATAAATTTTTACTAATGTTTGCTGTCACAGCTAACATGTTCGCTGCCACTGCAAACTTCTTAGCTGTGGTAGCTAATTTTCAAAGATTTCACAGGAAACATCTGTTTACTGCTGCAGCTAATTTCTTTTTTTCCTTGTAAGAAATCCGAAAATAAAAACAAAAAAAATAGATTTTTTTTACATTTTGAACTGGAATGTCCCCTTAACACTTTGCTTCCTCATAGAGATAAAAATAATAGAAATATATGAATAACTTTTTATAAATATGGTAAAAGTGATTGAATTTTGGGTCAATCAATGTATTTTTAAATACCCTACAAGATAGTTATAATAGTTTAATAGTTAAACAAGAATTTTCAAACAAAAAAGGTGAGAAAATGTCATTTTCCACAATTTTTGATTTTAAAATACCAATAATTTCAAAATTTATTATCGAATTAGGTTCAAAAATAGGTCAATCGAAGCGTTTTTTAATGCTCTACAAGTTGGTAACGATAATTTAAAAGTTATTTCTACATTTTTTAACAAAATTTTTCAAAAAAGTCTTATTATCCAAAAATTTTTATTTTTAAAAGTTTAATATCTCCGTTCAATATGGACGAAAAATGTTCAATTAGGGCTCAAAAGATGCGTCTAAAAAACTCTACAAAATTATGGAAAAACATTTATAGGTGTCCTAACATTTTTTTAAAGTTATGGGCAAAAAACGTTTTTTTGCAAAATTAAAAATCAAAAAAAAATTTAGTTAAAATTTATTAATATATCAGAAAGTACTCTCACTTTATGTCCGCAGGTGAGATCTACAATTTAAAAAAAAATTCAACCCAAAAGCTCTTCATGATTTTGAGATATTTATGAAAATGTGATGTTTACACACACACATACGGAATGATATTTTTTAAAAATCTCATTTTTGAACTCCTGAGGTCAAATAACATAAAGATATGTCAAAAAATCGAACTCGAAAAATTTTGGTATTACAATACTTCCTCTATGAGGAAGTAATAAGAAGGCAAGGCAGCCAGTCACCTTATTTTACAATAGTCCTGTTGTAAAGGCTACGACAGTCTATATCACTGATTCCCTTAGACTGCTGCAAATGTGAATAGAATCCAAGATTTCCTTTTAACGTAGACTATTCCGTATGTGTGTGTGTGTAAACATTACATTTTCATAAATATCTCGATATCATGAAGAGCTTTTGGGTTGAATTTTTTTTAAATTGTAGGTCTCAAGTGCGGACTTAAAATGAGAGTACTTTGAGATAGATTAATAAAGTTTAACTATATTTTTCTGTATTTTTAATTTTCCAAAAAAACGTTTTTCATAGCAAAGGTATCCGGCACGTTTCGGCCGCCACACCGCGTGTAAGTTGTAACACTGCGATTTAACTAGCCCCTGCTGGCGCACTTGCTGTAAGTTAAACGGGCCACTCTATTTAATAAATGGTTCTCAATTTATACAAATTTTAACCTCTGAAACGATTGTGGATTTTAATTAATTTCTCAAAATCCACTGAAAAGTCCAAGATAATTTTTACAGGAATAAAAATAGAATATTTATGCTTTATTTTGACATCAACTTTATCAAAATCGAATATAACGTGTTTTGAGATATTTAGAAGTTTAACCTTCAAATCAAATTTTCTATAGAATTACGTTATTTTAAAAAAAAAGCTTTTTACTATCATAAAATTCGAGAATTTATCTTTCAAAACTGCTAGTAAAAAAATTCAATTGGTTTATCTAAATAGGAGAAATATTTATTTAAAAATTGCCTTAAATTGGCAATGAAATGGAATGCCTCAAATATATACTCATATAATCTTATACGCGCATGCGTCGATCTTCCCAGCTGTTTAAGCTGTTATAAGTGTTATGGCGTCGCGTCAGTAGATCAAAAAGCGTGTGTTTTGCACTGTATGATATTAAGTGTTTGTTTAAGTTTAACTGTCACATTTTTGTAGTTTATTGTAAATATATTTAACCAATAAAATAATATTTATCAGTAATAGACAAGAGAAACATGAATTAACCAAAATTGGTTTAAACTCACACAGCACCGAAACTTTTCTAAAAATTTATTTAAGATAAACAGGGTATCTACAAAGCGGGAATAAGCCATCAGGAATTTTATGTCAAACCGGGAATTTTTTCACTGAATTAAAAAAGTTTTATTATTTTAATTTGTTCTAAAAAAAATATAGTTATTAATAAAAGCATATTTACCATAATCTGTGTTTTCCGGTTCCCAGCAATTCGATGGCCAGAAATAAGGTGTTTGGAATCTATAAAACGTGTTGTCGTTTTTGACTGTGAGACAGTGATCGTCGATGGGAAAAAAGTATCCATGGGAGGCCATAAGATGCGCAACGTGGAGGGCCTCTGTAAAAATTTCTGACATACCAGTAGTGTACACAGTTATTTAAATGATACATTATCCAATTATTAACACGCCAATTTATTTCAATTTAAGAAATTTCTCACTAATTAACGCTCATTTCGACACATAAAGTTAATAACACTTCTCTCTCACTTTTTATTAACACCGTCATTTAATAAAGTCAATTTTTTTTATTTACTGTTTTATTTTCTATTTTTTGTTTGTTTTTCTTTTTGAAATTCAAGTTGAATATTTTTTAATTATATTATTTAAAATTTTTGAAATTCATTAATTTTCAACAATTTTTATATTTCTTTTTAATGTCTTTAAAAATTAAATTAAATGTTATTTTTCAGAATATTCAAAACGTACCTTGATCATCGATGTCCATGTTCTTCATCATCCAGATTATTAAGTCTGTTCCTAATGTAGAAGAGAAAGAGAATTAATTTAATAAACATTAACATAATGGTAGATGGATTCGAATATTTATTAGTACTTAATTTTTAATTGAACCTTACATAGTAGATAAAAAAGTAAGAATCAGAAAAAGAGACGCATGATTATTCCCCAAATGTCATTTGACCGAACTGTCATTTTACCGAATTGCATTTATTTGAACTGTTATTTTAACGAAATGGCACTTTTGCGAATCGCTATTTTTACGAATTGCCACTTTTGCGAAAAGTCATTTTTGAGAAATATCATTTTAACGAATTGTCATTTTTATGAATCGTTATTGTTCCGAAATGTCACTTTTGTAGAGCTGTGCAAAATTCGATTCGAACCGAGTTTTGTTCGGTTTTGGAGCGCCGAAATGTCGAATGTCGAAAATTCGACATTTGAATCTCCTATAATCGAATTAGGCTAACATTCGAACTAGGCTAACTCGAATGTCGGTTTTTCGACATTCGAACTGGACTGACTCGAACTAGGCGATTGAAATGTCGAATTTTAGAATTGGACATTTTAGCGTTCCAAAACCGAACAAAACTCGGTTCGGTTCGAATTTTGTAGTAACTCGAATGTCGAATATTAGACATTCGAACTAAGCTAACTCGAATATCGAAAATTCGAATAGTTCGGTTCGAATTATTTTGCACAGCTCTACACTTTTGTGAATCGCTATATTTACGAATTGTCACTTTTGCGGATAGTCATATTTGCGAATTGTCAATTATGCGAACTGCCATTTTTTCGAAATGTCATTTTTGCGAATCTACATTTTTACGAATTGTCACTTTTGAAAAAATGAATTTTCGCAAAAGTGACAATTCGTAAAAGTGACATTTCGTAAAAATGACAATTCGAAAAAATGGCAGTTTTCATAAATGACAATTCGAAAAAATAACTTTTCGCAAAAGTGACAATTCGTAAAAATGTCGATTCACAAAAATGACATTTCATAAAAATGTCGATTCACAAAAATGACATTTCGTAAAAATGTCGATTCACAAAAATGACATTTCGTAAAAATGTCGATTCACAAACACATAGAGTTATTAGAATAGAGTGCGCGAGTTATACCTTTTACCGTGAGAGGCATTCTTAGGCGCATAGAAAGAGACAAAAGCATGAAAGTAGACCCCTTTTCTTACCTTGTTTATTGGCGCATGTGCAAGAATGAAAGTTTTTGGTTAGGTTTTTGTCTAAAAGATCGCATGAAAAATTGTTTTAAATATTATAAATGTTTTATTTTAATTTTAAATCTTCTTTTCGTATGGCTGTCTCCGTCTATGCGCCTAAGAAACATTTTGGTCGCTTGCGCACTCTATTCTAATAACTCTATGCACAAACATGACATTTCGGAACAATAACGATTCGTAAAAATGACAATTTGTTCGGTCAAATGACATTTGGGGAATAATCATGCGCCTCTCAGAAAAACGGTAAATAACAAGCTGCTGCTAAAAAGGGGAAAAAAAGAGAAAAAACACTTTGCTGCTAAACGTCATTTATCAAGAAGGTGGGCATTAGAAAATCGGTAAGTATAGGTACTTTTCAGCTGAAAGTCATTCCCCGCAAAAAAGGGTTTTTTGAAAACTGAAAAGACATTTTGCTGCTAAACGTTTAAGTTAACTGTTAATAATTGTAGAGGTCGAGTCGATCAAGTGAAAGGGGTACGTAAGGTTGGGTAACCACGCGTCGAACTTTTCTGATTGGCTCGTAATATTACCGGGAAACATTACGAGCCAATCAGAAAGTTTTTACGCGTAGTAACTTAAGTCCTTCCTTATAGTATTCTATTTCACAAACATAACCTACATTTCATAACAGTTGAAACAATTCCCAATAAGCATAAATATATATTTACTTTCCGTTTTTCATTCTACATTCTCTTTACATGAAAGAATGTATTATTTTTGTCTTTTTAATTATTGTCATTACCTGTAAAAACGGAAGGGATTTTACTGATAAAGCTCTTGACTGTCTTGACCGGAACACCATTAGCTTCATCCATCATTTTCTCCACTATCGATTCCATCTGAACAATTAATTTCCAATTAATTCTTTCATCGATAACGGAATTTTTAAAAAAGAAGAAAAAAAATGTTTTCATCTATATTTCTTTTTTTTAACCTTCTTATAAACAAGATAATTGGGAGTGTCTTCGGCACAAGTGATTGCCGCATAGCCAGAAGTATACTGAGGTGGATCGCGAGCGATTTCCGGTTCACGTGTACTTTGCTCATTATTATCAGAAGACCTTGCTCCCGGTTGTTCTGAACTGTTTTCTACTCCGTTGCTCTCTGCCGGCTTTCGCCTGCGGCAGGTAGACTTTTCGGTGCTCATGGTTACCATGACCGCGCTAAGAATGGCGCATCATCGCCCACCTGAAAGAACAATATCAAAAATAGACTCTAACGTGTCATATCCGATAAACGTCTATTTTTGGAAGTGAATAGATTACACGAGAATCTAGTTCAAGATCAAATGTATTTTTTTTCTCTCTTTTTACTTCACACAAGTACGTAAAATCAATTATTATCCACTTTTCGTGCAATATTATAAAAATATAATTTCACACATGAAAAAAATCTTCAATTAAAACTTATTAAAATTGTAATAAAAAAACTAAACTTTTAAAATTATTTGAATTATTAACTTTGTTTCTTTAAGAATCCATAAGTGAACTTTGGTATTTGAATCTACATTATGATAAAAGCTTTAGTTTGAAATCTTATGAAATAAGTCGATGTCAAATCCTAGAGACAAAAAAGAATGTTCTTTATACATTAGGGTTGAAAAAAACGTTTTCAAATCATTCCAAATGGGAAAATAAAACATTTTTAATTCACAAATTGAATTTTTCACAGTCTCACGGGATACGAGTGTTAATTATAAAGAGAAAAAAAAGAAGAAACGTGAATTGGTTTTTGAGTAATAAATTGGATCAACAGTTGTGAGGATGTATTCACGTGGATGTCAGCGACGAGAATTTCTGATTCGCAATAGGAGTATAACACGCGGTGTATACAAATTCAATGCGTCACCAATTTTCTTGTGAGAGAGCGAAATGTGATTGCGGATATGGAAAAAGTGAAACAAAAATAAATAAAAAAATCTCCAATTTTCAAATATTAAAAAATGGATTCATTTTTGAAAGTTTAATTGAAAAATAACCGAGATACAGACCTGGATGACCAGAAGAGACAAGGCAAACAGTATTGATTACCGGCCTACAACGATGTTTCCTATATACATATATATAGCTAGACTTTCCAGTCCTCCTACCTATTGACCTACCCACACAATCAAAAAAAGAAAAAAAACACGAACCTTTCCAACTTCTGCTCTTTTCTCTACACTAAAGGATTTCGAACCTACCACCTGATGCGGTGTTACAAGGTCGAACCGCACCGACAAAGGGTTATATTGCCAATTGCAATTTCTTTTCAAAGCCAGTACCGGACGGCACTAGATTTTTATATCTTTGTAGATAGAAAATTGGCTTACCAAAATTTGTGGTCAACTTTGGTTTTTAAACTTTATTGAGTGAAAAAGTGTTTAAAATGAAATTATTCTAGAATACCTACTTCAAACACATCTGCATTGTCTGACATAACCTCTAAATGCTCGTAAATTTCCAATTAGGATTTAAAGGCAAGGGATCGAATTTAAGTGACAGTTCGTGTGGAATACCTTCAACAACACATTGCCTACCATAACCTCTAAGTGCTCGTAAATTTCCAGTTGGAATTTAAAGACAATGGATCGAATTCAGTTTGTGTAGGACTCCTTCATCAGCACAGCCGTATTGTCTAACATAACCTCTAAATAGTCGTAAATTTCCAATTAGAATTTAAGTACAGTGGATTAAATTCAAGTGACAGTTCGTGTAATTAATTAAATTTAGTGATTTGTAGTTTAAACAAGAAAAAACTCATCGCGCGCATCCTCCCTCGGGGCACGGGATTTTGGAAACCTGAAAAGACATTTTCCTGCTAAACGTGATTCCTCAAGAAAGTGAATATTAGAAAATTAGTAAGTATTCTTTTCAGCTGCACATCCCTCCTCGGGGCACGGAAACCACGGTTTTCGGAAACCCGAAAAGACATTTCGCTACTAAACGTAGTTCCTCAAAAAAGTCATCGATAGAGAATTGACAAGCCCTAATATTTTCCTGCTAAACGTCATCCTTCAAAAAATTTGGAGTTAAAAATTGGTAAGTACTTTTTGTTAGTTACACCTTATTCGTCGTAAAACGAGATTTTGGAAACTGAAGAAATTTTGCAGTGCGCATTAGAAAATCGGCAAATTTAACTTCTTAGCTAGATTCCCCGGAAAACGGGTTTTTTAAAAACTGAAAAGACATTTTGTTATGTTAATCGTCATCCTTCAAGAAAGTGGTGGTTACAAAAATCGGTAAGTACTTTTTTTTAGTCTAACGTCATTCCCCGGAAAACGGGATTTTGGAAACCTGAAAAGACATTTTGCTACTAAAGTAGTTCCTTAAGAAAGACGGCGACATAAAATTGGTAAGTACTATAATATGTTGCTACTAAACTTCATTCCCCGGAAAACTGCGTTTTTCAAAACTAAAAAGACATTTTTCCGTTTGTCATTCCGCAAAAAAGTGCGGGCGTTAAAAAATCGGTAAGTGCCATTTGACTTTTAAACCTCATTCTCCGGAAAACAGTTTTTTCTTCAAAACTGAAAAGACACTTTTCCTGCAAAATGTCATTCCGCAATAAAGTGGGCGTTAGAAAATAATCCCCCTAGAGGTGGGCGTTAAAATTTGAAAGAACCTTCTTTCACTGTTTGAAAGTCACTTTATTAATACCAACAAACAACTGAATTTTTCTCTTTTTCAAAAATTACCCATCACAGAATTACAATAATAATTCCCTCTAAAACAGAGTTTCTAAAAAACTATTCTTATTTTCAGATACAGAATTGATTTCTCTCTTTCACATTCTGTATCGAAATTTACGACTGAATTGCGTGCTCTGCTTTTTGATCCGAATAACAATACAGCCCAACTCTTGAACTTTAATATTAATTCCAACGTTAAGTATATACTTTTGTACAAAAAGGCAAAAGTGACTCATTTACGTTTAAAAATAATTCTCTCTCAAAAAAAAAAGTTTTTTAAAAACTCTAAAGTTCCTTTATTTTTCATGTTTAAACGTCATGTTGCGATAAAATGCAGGAGTAAGAATTGCCGTGGAAAGACTTTTTTTAATGTTAAACGTCATCTTATTAACCACCCGAAATGTCTGACATAATCTCTAAATACTCTAACTCTCCAACTGTTGGATTTAACACACGCTGTAATAAACTAAATTCAAGTGAGTTCGTGCAACTATATTATTATGAATATGAAATCCCTGGGAATTCAAGGTTTTCAAGTAGTATATAAATCTTGTGAAAAGGTATGCGAATCAAGTGGCATTAAATTTACCAAAAAGTGGTTTTGAGAATAAAAAATCCTCTTGGTCCAAAAAACATCTTTTCAATTCAATGAAAAATCAAAAATTTGATATAATGTAAAACAAATTTTATAGTTCTAATAGTTAAAAAAAATTCTAATAACTACACTTGGACTTTGCAAATCAATAAAATTAGTTGTAGGCAAAAAATTGTTACTTAAAGGTTTATAGTTCTAATAGTTATAATTATAGTTATAATTTTATAGTTCTAATAGTTAAAAAAAATTCTAATTACTACACTTGGACTTTGCAAATCAATAAAATTAGTTGTAGGCAAAAAATTGTTACTTTAAGGTTTGTATGAATTTGAAAAAGAAGAATTAAAAAAAACTGTTTATTGGAAAAGGGATCGATCGAAAAAGTGTTCGATCATAAAAAAATTGTTTTTACATTCTTATCCCCAACAATTTACTACACGAGCAAAATCTATACAATAACAATATATTCCGAGAAGATAAAGACAAATGAAAAAGTCCTAAATTTTGTTCATTTCGTCACAATTGTTTTCGAAATCTCTTCTCGAAAACTTTTCACTTCCTGTTTTTCATGTCCATATATAGAAAAGAAACTTGACTCCGTTTTCTATATTCTCACTTTCGTGAAACTTTTTAACACAACATTTTCCACACCAAAGAATATTTTATATATAAATATATATATACATAAACTTTATTATATGCCGTATATTTTCTTTAGATTCTTCCTCTACATTTATTCTTTTCCATTATATGTAAAAATATATACACATAGAGACATAAAAAGCAGCAATTGTAAATTGAAAGAGAATATATTGTGTTGAAAAAGACAAAGTTGAGGATAATTATTCCGTTTTATTCTTTCTCTCTCTCGACAAAGGGAGGAAAACGTTTTATGAGAGTGGTGCATAAAATAAGATATGGGTGTATATCTCAAAAAAATATATATCTATATCTGAAGATCGTCCTATAGAATATATAAAACACTTGGGTATTTATTTTCCTCTTTTTCCCTACTCGAACCCTAGGAAAAAAATTTTTTTATTCAAATTTCGAGAGAGAGAGAGAGAGAGAGAGAGAGAGAGAGAGAGAGAGAGAGAGAGAGAGAGAGAGAGAGAGAAGTAGCTTACGCAATTCACAAGAATTGAGAATGTAAATGAATGAGAATTATGTGCAAAAGTTATCTTGTATATATTTTGTGTGAAGATGAAACTTTTCGGAGAATTTTCAGTGAAGAAAGAAAACGAAATTTATACTCTGAATTTGTGTGGTACATGAATATTTTGAAAATGAGTAATATTCTTGAATAATAATCTTAAAAAGAAAATTTTATTCCAGTTACAGACAAGAATCACAGTTTTCTTTTTATCAAAAAAAAATTCAAGTACGCGTGGGAAAAAGTAAATATTTTTTTAAAGTAGACGATAAAAATGTGATGAGGAGAAAAATGTTGCATAAAAAAATTAACATCTCTGGTATATTTAGAATTTTATAATATACCACTTTTGTGAAGAAATAAATGGAAAACAAAACATTGGATGGAAAAGAAGAGAGACATATTTGTATTCTTTTCTATATCATGCTTTTTAAAACATTTGAAGGTTATGTCAAACAATTCGAACTCGAGGCACAACAGATTCGCGAATGTAATAATTCATGATGGGTTAAAAATTATAAAGGATATAGATATACGATCCTAAACATAACCGAAGATTTTTTTAGCCTAAGGTACCTTTCACCGTGGAGGGTCGCATTAAAATTTAATGCGATATTATTTAATAATAAAAAACTTAGTAAAACGGATACAATTTTTTAAATGATTTATGAAAATTTAGAAGGTGCATGAATATAAGAAAAATTGACTCTACAAATATTTATCTGCTAACGTTTGTGGACATTTGAATATTAATTTCCTGATTTTTTAAA